CCTTACACTCAGTGCCTCCATGAGACGGAAGGGAGTGAGCCAATCAGACCTTGTTCAGTTGAGAGAAGCTTTAGCTGCTCTTAGTAAAAGGTCTTCACTAACTGCTTGAAGATATGTGATATTGCGAGCCGAGGTAGAAGAGATCTGGCGACCATAGACGATCGTCAGTTGTGCACCCAGACAGCTGGTTTCACATCAGAGATCCCTGGGTAACCCAGCTAACCAGTGACAAGCCTGCTCTGATCGTTCCAACTGCGACAATCGCTAATCATCAATCATCAACGGCAGTCTCAAACGGCAGTCAATCTCGTGTGTTCTGACGAAAACCCTGCATTGAACTCACTGTTAGCTATTGCTAATTTTATCACTGCCCTATCTAAACCCTGTCTGAGATCGAATGAGACTTACTTGTTATACTGCAATAGCGCAACACAGGTGACTAGACAACGTGACCGTTTTGTCCTCCCTGATGCACAGTCTGTACCTCTCTGTTCGAACACTGTCGTCTGACTGGGAAACAGCCAACCTCGTGTCCTCTCAAGGCGTTAGCTTAGGACTACGTGACATATTTTCCGCCTACTAATAACTTTCTTGGGACACCCGTAACATATTTAGACTGAGAAACGATCTATAAAAACTTTTAATTTAATAACTGATATTTAATTTCATAATGCGCCTCCATATTAATTCGGCAAATTACATTTAATATCGCATAGGCCTAGTTCCAGAAACTGTCACTACTTGCGGGAGCGCTGTCTTCCCTCAGACTACCTTGAAAACTCAGTATCCTAATATGGCGCGCGTATCTAAATCACACTGAAATTTCTGATATATATATATATATATATATATATATATATATATATATATATATATATATATATATATATATATATATATATATATATATATATATATATATATATATATAGATATATATATATATATATATATATATATATATATGGCCAAATTATACTCAAAGTTAGTTAGGTTTGGTCAAGTCAGGTGAGGTGAGGTCAGGTTCTGTATGAAGGTGTTAATTTTTATGTATATTTATGATCAACAGGATCGTTTATGGCCAGTTAAAAGTTAAAAAAAAAAGATATTCTGAGGCGGAATCCTACTGTATTCTGAGGCCGGAATCCTACCGTCTCCTGGAGCGGAATCCTACCGTATTCTGAGGCGGAATCCTACCGTATTCTGAGGCAGAATCCTACCGTCTCCAGGAGCGGAATCCTACCGTCTCCTGGGGCAGAACCCTACCGTATTTTAGGCGAAATTCTACCCTATTCTGGGGCGCAATCCTACACTATTCTTGGGCGGAATCCTATCCTATTTTGGGTCGGAATCCTAACATATTCTCAGACGGAATCCTACCGTCTCCAGGGGCAAAATCCTTCCCTAATCTGGGATGGAATCCTGCCGTATTATGAGGCGGAATCCTACCGTCTCCTGGAGCGGAATCCTACCGTATTCTGAGGCGGAATCCTACTGTAGTCTAAGGCGGAATCCTACTGCATTCTGAGGCGGAATCCTACTGTATTCTGAGGCGGTCTCCTGGAGCGGAATCCTACCGTATTCTGAGGCGGAATCCTACCGTATTCTATGGCAGAATCCTACCGTCTCCAGGAGCGGAATCCTACCGTATTTTGAAGCTGAATCCTTCCGTCTCCTGGGGCAGAATCCTACCGTATTTTAGGCGGAATCCTACCCTATTCTGGGGTGGAATTCTACCGTATTTTGAAGCGGAATCCTACCGTCTTCTGAGGCAGAATCCTGCCCTATTCTGGGACGTAATCCTACCGTCTTCAGGAGCGGAATCCTACCGTATTCTGAGGCGGAACCCTACAGTGTTATGAAGCAGAATCCAACCGTATTCTGGGACGGAATCCTACTGTCTCCTGGAGCGGAATCCTACCGTATTCTGAGGCGGAATCCTACCGTCTCCTGCGGCAGAATCCTACGGTATTGTAGGCGGAATCATACCCTATTTTAGGGGGGAATCCTAGAGTATTCTAGGGCGAATTCCTACACAACCCCACTACTGAAATACAACCCCACTACTGACACACAACCCCGCTACTGACACACAACCCCGCTACTGACACACAACCCCACTACTGACACACGTACACACAACTCACAAATGTTGATGCAGTAGTTCCAATCTGGTCCGCCAGGGGGGGGGGGGGTGAAGAGAAAAGCGTAAGGTTCGCTTTACGTTGTGTATTGTATTAGCTATCACAAGACATCTCACCCACTCAGCATCAGCGGTGACCTGGACAGATGATGTTTCAGTTTAGGTAGTTGTTACAGTAAGTTGTACAGTGACAGGTTATTACAACTGTAGGGTAATTCACTCATTTACAGGGTGTTACATTTATGATTCCTTCCTTATATATTAATAATAATAATGATGAGGAATAAACAATTGATATTGAATTGAAATAATAATATTAATAATAATAATAATAATAATAATAATAATAATAATAATAATAATATACTACTCAGGAGCCTACCACTACTGCTATAAGTACTAATACTTCAACTATTATTACTCCTACTACTAAAACTATTAATACTACTAATAATATTACCACTAATACTACTGTAGTGGACGTCTCCCCTACAACTGCTTACAACTGCGTAGCCACAGCCACCACCTGTTACCGCATTCTGACGCGTTGGCGTCTCCTAGCAACCAAGCGAGAGCTGATGCCAGATGGTACGGTTGCTTAGCAACGAAACTACTCACCAGCAACTTTCTGGGTTTTCCGAACATGATTCATAGAGGACTGGCGGCTGCTGCTGGGTATATAAGCTCTGTCTCTCCATTGAGATTCATTCTGCCCATCTTCCTGAACAAGCAACACCTCCTCCAGCAAGCTCCACGCCGTTAACACTTATTCAGCCAGGAGGCCAGCAATAGGCAACATCTTCTCTAACGAAGCTCCTGCACATCTGCCTCCTTCAACACGCTACTCACCGAACGTCTTCTACTGAGCAGCTCCCCACCACACGGCATCTCCAGCACCAGACTGTCTATCATATAACTTATATATTATACAAGAAAACCACATTAGAGTTTCCTTCCATCCTGAGTGCTAGACAACATTAATATCTCGATACCCCTACAATGGTGACTCCCGGAGATAAGCACTCACACAGGATGGAGGACGGACGGATCTCTTTGCCGACTTTCAACCACAACGTCGAGGACTGGCTTGACCATGTGGAAGCAGCCCTCGCCGGCTCACGAGCGACCGACGGGCAAAAGTATTGCGCCCTGCTCTGTGCCTTGCCCACGGAAGTGGCCACGCGGGTCTCACAAACAATTTCCAACCCTCCAGATCACAACAAATTCGCTACCCTGCGGGCTGCCTTGAAGACGTGTTATCAACAGACCAGCCCCAATCTCCTGCAAGATCTATCCTCTACCTCCCTCGGGAACTCAACCCCGGGACGTCTCTGGGAGGAGATGTGTCGGCTGAACTCCCGTCACACAGACAGACTCCCCGACTCTATCCTGCGCCATCTTCACGCACAAAAGCTACCCACAGAAGTACGCAACATCCTGTCCGCAGTAGATTACTCTACGACACCGGAACTATATGCAACCGCGGCAGATAGAATTTTTAACGAGTGCGCTGCTGCACCCCTTGCCGCCACGGTCACACCAGTACCTACCATCGAACTTGTAAGCCGGGTCAACACCCCTCAGCCGAGCAATACCTCACAAGACATCAAGGACCTGTTGCAAATTTTGAACCGCAGGATGGACACCATTGAGCAGTTCTGCTCCTCCATACCCGCTGCTGCGCCGGTTCCTGACTCACACACTACGCCCTACAAGTTCCGACACACAGCAGCCAACCCCCAGCACAACAAATTTACCCTCTGCTGGTATCACCAAACTTTCGGCCGCAATGCTCGAAACTGTGAGCCCTATTGCACCTATTCGGGAAACGGCAACACCCGAGGCTGGTAGACGCCTCAGCCTCCGTCCCTCCAGGCGTCTCTTTACTGCGCGTCACCGACCGCACCTCCAGCAAGAAGTTCCTCATCGACACCGGTTCATCGGTCAGCCTCATCCCTCCCTCACTACGAGACAAGTCAAAGCAACCCTCGTATGACCTGTTCGCTGCCAACGGTACCTCCATCGCCTCCTACGGCGTACGCACCCTCGCCTTAGACCTCGGTCTGCCCAAGACTCTGCGTTGGTTATTCGTGATAGCAGACGTATCCCAAACCCTCTTTCTCCTAATTCTCCCACAGGTTTTGTGTCACTGGACGGAGTTGTTACACGTAGCGGTCGAGTCGTACATACACCTGCCCAGTATGTGTTATGTGTGGGACACAACCCGGACAACATCCAGCCTCCCGCCGCGCCGGGAGGGGAGGGGGAGTATTGTAGTGGACGTCTCCCCTACAACTGCTTACAACTGCGTAGCCACAGCCACCACCTGTTACCGCATTCCGACGCGCTGGCGTCTCCTAGCAACCAAGCGAGAGCTGATGCCAGATGGTACGGTTGCTTAGCAACGAAACTACTCACCGGCAACTTTCTGGGTTTTCCCAACATGATTCATAGAGGACTGGCGGCTGCTGCTGGGTATATAAGCTCTGTCTCTCCATTGAGATTCATTCTGCCCATCTTCCTGAACAAGCAACACCTCCTCCAGCAAGCTCCACGCTGTTAACACTTATTCAACCAGGAGGCCAGCAATAGGCAACATCTTTTCTAACGAAGCTCCTGCACATCTACCTCCTTCAACACGCTACTCACCGAACATCTTCTACTGAGCAGCTCCCCACCACACGGCATCTCCAGCACCAGACTGTCTATCATATAACTTATATATTATACAAGAAAACCACATTAGAGTTTCCTTCCATCCTGAGTGCTAGACAACATTAATATCTCGATACCCTTACACTACTAATAATAATTTTGCTCCTACTACTTCTACTACCACCACTACTACTACTACTACTACTACTACTACTACTACTACTACTAATAATAATAATAATAATAATAATAATAATAATAATAATGTGTGCAGTTTGTCCCAGTTTTTTTTACAATAAATTCACTACAAACTTATCAAACTTATGTTCTCGTCTGGTTGACAAGTGAACAAACCTTAATCTCTCTGGCAAAAAACTTGGATATGTCTGCACGTTGATCTACAAAATACCGGATCACCTGAAGATTAGCCCACCCCAGCTTGTTTTACCTCTTGATTAAACACCCGAATACTAATTGGGAGGTTAGGTTAGGTTAGTTGTTCTTAAGGCGAAATAATTTAAGTGGGTTATTCTTCAGGTGATCTAATTAATTTCTCAAAACACAGCGTTGAACATTATGTTACACTCACTGACAATACAACCATTACATTAAACAAACACTCAAGTAACTAGTGGACTAACGTAAGTCAATCGTAACACTTTCCAAAACTTATAATAAAAGACAGAATTTAAAAAGAAAAATCTCATCAAGGATTCACTACAGACTACAAAGGTAAAGTTAAACAAAAATGTTTCGCAAATATTTGAGATTTTAGAACGTTAATATATATATATAAATTGGAACACATTGAAGCGCCAAGGCTGCCAACTGTTCCTGACTTCAATTTGTTTACCAAAATGCGATGATTTGCTCAGGAATTTTCGACACAGTTTTGGTTGACTACAGAACAACAATATTAGAAATCTCACTGTCTCTGTACCCTCACTGGAAACCTTGACATACTCTACGTGTTGTTATATTTACCTGCACAAGTTTAGTAATTTCTTTAAAGTTCTTTGTAAAGACAAAGGTAATAGAGGCATTAAGCCAAGGTTCACCAACTCCACAGACTAGTTACAGATGGGCGAGAACGATCAAGTACACGGAAAACTCCAAAAATACACAAAGTTCAGTCACTCGGCTCATCAGCTCACAGACACCTCGACGTGACGTAATAGATTATTCTCACCAACTGTATACTTTTGATTCTGGTTCTCACATGTTTGTATATTTTAACACTGTGGCGCTGGCTTAGTGACATATGGATACATTTCAGTTTATTATTATTATTATTATTATTATTATTATTAATGGACGCGTCTTGTACAAAGTATGTGTGGTAAGTAGTATGGGTTTTCATTAGCTCCCTGGTTTAGTTTGGGCCTTGAAGACGTGATGTATGACGCATTTATGGTTATATAGGCGTTAGAGAAATGTTATACATACATACACACACACACACACACACACACACTCATCAAAAGAAAATAATACTGTAGTTGTTCTGTGTACTTAAACTCCTTGTCTCCCGCCTTACAATCCATACACCCACCCACTGTACCACCGTAACACTGTACCACCGTAACACTGTACCACCGTAATACTGCACCACTGTACCACCGTAACACTGTACCACCGTAACACTGTACCACCAATAATACAAAAGTATAGTGCTCTCAGATTGTATAAAAAGACTAACCCTACGTTGATGTCTGTCGTAAAAGTCACTAACTCAGCATCATACACAACTCTCCCCCTTCTTCAGGAGCGGGGTGCTGGGGGCGTCATCCTCACAGCTCAAATGTCTGGCGAAGGACACTCGTTTCCTATCGGGGCCGAGGAATCCTGCGGGAGGTGGCAAGTTCCCCTCCACATCCCTACAAGGAAGATGGTGGGGGTTCATCATGGTGGAGTAGCAGGCGGAGGTGCTTGGAGGTGTGATGGAGGTCCTTGGAGGTAAGGTGGAGGTAGCTGAGGTTTCCTGGAGGTAGGTCGGATCGTGTTGGAGGTACTCTCTAGGGTAATAGCGGCCAGGGAAGGTCTCTAAACCCCCAGGAGGTGCTGGGGGTGGCGGGAGCGTGTGGGATATCCCGGGGATGCTGTACCTGGAGAGGGTCTGTTGTGAGGAAGGGGAGAGAGAAGCACTGGGTCAGAATATTGCTTATAAACGACTGGTAGAGACACATGGGTCAATATTTTATAACAACACAACAGTGACACAAACACAACGGCGCCACTAACACAACAGTGACATAAACACAAACAGTGACCTGGGTAGGGGAGGTGACATAGGCCGGGAACTTGTAGGCCTCAGGGGGTAGGAGGGTAGCGGGTGGGAGGACCTCCTCTCCCTCATCCCCTCCACGACACTCCTGGAGGGGAATTATGTCAGGCTCCGCATCACTCTCAATCTCTACCTGCCGGGGGAAGTGTCTGGTTAGTGATAGTGGTGATGTCTGTTAGTGGTAGTGGTGATGTCTGGTTAGTGGTAGTGGTGATGTCTGTAGTGGTATGTGGTTAGTGGTAGTGGTGATGTCTGGTTAGTGGGGGTAGTGGTGATGTCTGGTTAGTGGTAGTGGTGATGTCTGGTTAGTGGTAGTGGTGATGTCTGGTAGTGGTGATGTGGTTAGTGGTAGTGGTGATGTCTGGTTAGTGGTAGTGGTGATGTCTGGTGGTGATGTCTGTTAGTGGTAGTGGTGATGTCTGGTTAGTGGTGAAGTCTGGTTAGTGGTAGTGGTGATGTCTGGTTAGTGGTGGTGTCTGGTTAGTGGCAGTGGTGATGTCTGGTTAGTGGTGGTGTCTGGTTAGTGGTAGTGGTGATGTCTGGTTAGTGGTAGTGGTGATGTCTGGTTAGTGGTAGTGGTGAAGTTTGGTTAGTGGTAGTGGTGATGTCTGGTTAGTAGTGGTGATGTCTGGTTAGTGGTGGTGTCTGGTTAGTGGTAGTGGTGATGTCTGGTTAGTGGTAGTGGTGGTGTCTGGTTAGTGGTAGTGGTGATGTCTGGTTAGTGGTAGTGGTGATGTCTGGTTAGTGGTAGTGGTGATGTCTGGTTAGTCGTGGTGTCTGGTTTGTGGTAGTGGTGATGTCTGGTTAGTGGTAGTGGTGATGTCTGGTTAGTGGTAGTGGTGATGTCTGGTTAGTGGTGATGTCGGGTTAGTGGTGGTAGTAGTAGTTTTATAAGTAATAACTTTAGTATGATCAACAGTCATAAAGTTAATAATATTAGTAGTAACTTTAGTAATATAAGTAACAACTGTAACATAAGTAAGATTGGCAAAGTTATGGTAATAATTTTAGTAGTAAATTTAAGTAATAGTAGTAAAGTTAAGATGGTAAGTAGCTTTAGTAGTGATGGGGTGAGAGCAAAGTTCTCCCCTACTTATAATAATTTAGTTTTACATTATCTTTACTTCCAGGTAACGTTATCTCTCTCTCTCTCTCTCTCTCTCTCTCTCTCTCTCTCTCTTTCTCCCACCTGCATCTCCCTCTCCAGACAGGAACTATCGTGTTCAGGCGTCAACGTAGACGAAGTACGACTACTCCTGGGAGACCTTCCTGTCGCGGCCCTGCTGTGTCGATCATCCATCTCCTTGTGACTGTGTACCCCAGCGGCCAGGGACAACAGCTGTGGTGCCCTCCTGCTGCGGAAAGTGATGAACAGCAACAAGAGAATCACCAGCAGTACCAGGCCGGAGCCCACGCCCAGCACCACCATGATGACGGAGGGGAGAGCCAGGGTGTCCAGGAAGGTGTGGTGGTTTTCATCAGTAGGCTTGGTGTTGGAGGTGTTGATTTTACCACCGTCCCGGACCTCAGCCTCAGAGGGACCGTCTGTAGGTGAGGTGGTTCAGTTAGTGGAAATGTTTTGTTACCTGACTGACTGACTGAGGTTACTAACTGACTGACTGATTGACCGAAATACTAACTGACTGACTGATTGACTGAGATATTAACTGACTGACTGATTGTCTGACCGATATACTAACTGACAGAACGACTGACTGAGATACTAACTGACTGACTGATTAATTGACCGAGATACTAACTGACTGACTAACTGACCGAGTTACTTACTGACTGACTGACTGGTTGACTGACTGACTGAATAACTGACTGACTGATTAGCTGATTGAGATACTAACTGACTGACTGAATAACTGACTGACTAACTAACTGGTTGACTGGCTGATTAACTGACCGAGATACTAAATGACTGACATTAACTGCCCGAGCCATTATACTAACCCACACTAACCACACAGTCAATAACAACCACACCACAACCACTCACCATACAGCTGGTAGACGGAGCCATTGGTAGACAGGCTGGTGACAGTGAGGAGGACAGGTTCACTGGCGCCCTTAGCGTTGACGGCAGTGACCACCAGGTGATACTTCCCGGCTACCTGGAGCCCCTCCACCTGTGAGAAGAAGAAGAAGAAGAAGAAGAAGAAGAAGAAGAAGAAGAAGAAGGAGAAGAAGAAGAAGAAGAAGGAGGAGGAGGAGGAGGAGGAGGAGGAGAGTGTCACTATCATATTCAAAAGCCTTTAATCTCCTTAAGTTTCAAAGTTCACGTAAGAATGACAAGAGCGATGATGGGAAAGAGGGAGAGAGGAGAATAAAGATGGGAAATGAGGAACAGTCGAAGAGAGAAGAAGGTAGGAGAAGAAGGAAGAATGAAGAGAAAGAAGAAGAAGAAAGAGGGAGATAGTAGAAGGAAGAGGAAGAAATAAGTTGGGGAAGAAGGAAAAGGAGTAATGAAGGAGGTAAGAGAAGAAGGAAGAAGGAAGAGGAAGAAGGACGTAACAGAAGGAAGAGAGTGAAGAAAGAGGTAGCGAACGAAGCAATTTATAGCAATTTTCATACTCTACCTGACCTAGCCTGGAGAAGGACGTGCTCGTGTTAGTGACCAGAGGAAATGGCCGCCGTGGTAGTTGGGGATCGTTGTGTTGTGGGGGAAGAGGGGCGGAGTGTGAGGAAGGACGACCTCCTGGCTACTCTGTTAAGTCAGCTGGAGCAGTTGAGGAGAGAGATGGACGTGTTAAAGGGGGAGAACGAAGTCCTCAGGACTGAACTCCTTCAGGTAGGTGTCCTACCTAGCAGGACACCTGCAAAAGAGGAACAGGCGTGGAGAGTGGTTGCTTCCAAGGGGACTAGGGTCAGACTCAAGAAAGCTGACCAGGGTGTGGAGTGCAGTAACCCCTACCAAGTGTTGGAGGAAGCTGGCGAGGAAGAGAAGAGGCAGGGCGAGGAGAAGAAGCAGGGCGAGGAAGAGAAGAGGCAGGGCGAGGAAGAGAAGAGGCAGGACCATGTGGTGCCAGGAGTGAAAAGGGCAGTTGTGCAGATGGGGCTTTTTGTGCAAGAGATAGGAAACGTAGGACTAGGGTGTGTTTTCCTGGGGCTGGGATACGGAATGTAGCTGAGAGGATAGATAGGGTTTTGTCAGGGGAGGGTACCAATTCAGTAGTGTGTCTTAGTGTGGGAGGTAACGACATAGGAAAGGTTAGGAGTGAGGAACTTTTCAAGTGGTATAGGGAGGCGCTGGGGAAGGTTAGAGATAGGGGAGGGATCCCGACAGTGTGTGGTGTCTTGCCTAGAAGAGGAGTTGGTCGTGAATGGCTGTCCAGGGCAATTGCTATAAACTGCCGACTGGAAAAACATTGTGCAAACAATGGTTGGGCATTCATTGATAACTGGCAATCATTCTTTGGCAACGAGCCAACGACTATCTGTACAGTCGTGACGGAGTACACTTGTCTCGCGCGGGGATAAAGACGTTGACTGCATCCCTGGAGCGTGAAATTGTCACTCCAAAGAGGGGATTTCGCCAACAGAGAGAGGTCGGGGTAAGTGGGAGTCAAAAAACAAGCAGGTCCTGGGGAGTAAAATTGGTTACTCAGGCCAAGGGGTAAAACAGGACCAGGGAAGGGTAGGTTTAAATGTATACTAAACAAACAGCAGGATCGTTAGAAATAAAATAGACTTGCTGAGAGCGGATGTATGTACCAATCACCGAAACTTGGATGAATCTGGCGAGCAAGAACTTTTTATCAGAGTACCACATAGAAGGGTACAACCTTTTTCACCAGGACAGGGAAGGTAGGAAGGGGGAAGGGGTCGCACTCTTCGTCAGGGATACATTAAAATGTTGTATTAATAATTCAATAAAGGGTGAAATTGGAACCGAGTCTGTATGGGTAGAAATTGCGGAAGGAAGAGAAAAACTAATTATGGGAGTGATTTACAGGCCCCCAAGTCTTGGGAAAGAAGCATCTCAGCCCATATGGCAGGAAATGAGTAGGGCAGCAAAATATAACAACCTGTGCATTATGGGGGATTTCAACTTCAGAAATATTGACTGGGACAACATTGTAGGTGACTATGAATCTGAAGACTTCCTAGATGCAGTACAGGACAATTTTTTGAAACAACTAATTACAGAATCTACTAGAGGTAACAATATATTAGACCTAGTATTAACAAATAAAGAAAATATTATCAGAGATATCACAATAGGGGAAGAACTAGGGAATAGTGATCACAGAGAAATCAGGTTCACCCTAAATTGGGAAACGAAAAACAATGACAATATGGTCAGTCCCAGACTTTCGATTAGCGGATTATGAGGGGTTAAGAAGGTACCTAGGTGAGGTCGCCTGGGAACAGTCAGGTCAGTCCCCAGTAGAAACGGGTGAGGTCACAGGTGACACAACAATTGATCATGACTATAAAATATTCAATCGTACACTACGTAAAGCACAAGAACAAAATATACCATACAGAAAAATTAGGTCAAATAAGAATGAGCCAAGGTGGATGACCAGAAAACTTAAACGTGACATAGGAATAAAGAAAGGAATTTATAAGAAATTAAAGGGAGGGGAGGAGCAGCTCAGAAACAGGTATAATGAATTATCTAGGAATGTTAAGAAAAATATAAGGAAGGCAAAGAGGGACTACGAAATCAGGATAGCAAGAGAATCCAAGGCAAATTCCAAGGGATTTCTCCAGGTATATAGGACAAAGGTCAAGGACAAAGTTGGGCCTTTAAAGTCAGAGAGAGGGGAAGTGATCGATGATAGTGAGGAAATAAGCAAAGCATTAAACAGTTACTTTTTATCAGTTTTCACAGAAGAAATTCACAAGGAAATTCCAGAGGTGGAAACTGATATTTAGGGGAAATGAAGAAGAGAAATTAAAGAATATCAGAAAAGAGGATGTTCTTAAGAAGATAAATAAATTAAAGATGACAAAATCCCCAGGGCCGGATGAAATTTTCCCTCGAGTTTTGAAAGAGTGTAAGGAACAGATTAGCGGACCCCTCGTAAATTTATTTACAAAATCATTAGACACGGGAGTTGTGCCAGACTTGTGGAAACAGGCAAATGTAGTACCCATATTCAAAAAAGGAGACAGAGCATCAGCGTCAAATTACTGGCCGATTAGTTTGACGTCAGTAGTGGGAAAATTTCTTGAATTAATTATAGCAATTAGCATCCGATCGCATTTAGAGAAAAGCAAATTAATCTACGGCTCTCAACATGGGTTTACAAAAGGAAAATCTTGTCTAACAAATCTGTTGACGTTTTTTAGGAAAGTATTCGAGGTAGTAGATAATGACGAAAATTACGATGTTATTTACTTAGACTTTAGCAAAGCGTTTGACAGAGTACCGCATCAGAGGCTTCTGAGAACAGTTAAGGCTCATGGAATCGAGGGGAAAGTTTTAAATTGGATAAAATCATGGCTCACCGATAGAACACAGAGGATAGGCGTAGATGGTGTTAAATCTGAGAGGGGTTGTGTAACCAGTGGGGTTCCCCAGGGGTCAGTACTGGGCCCACTCTTGTTCATAATCTACATAAACAATCTAGATACTGGGATCAGCAGTGACATAAGCAAGTTTGCGGATGACACCAAAATATGGCGGCAGATTAATTCAGGGCAAGATGCAAATGCACTACAGGAGGATTTAAATAAACTGCAGGAGTGGTCAGAAAAATGGCAAATGAAATTTAACACCAGCAACTGCAGCGTACTGAATATTAGAAAAACAAATACCGTCAATGTATACAGCCTTAACAACATCAACCTAGAGAAGTCGACTTGTGAAAGAGACTTAGGGGTACTTGTAAGCCCGGACCTACGGCCTAGAAAACAGTGCGTTAATGTTTGAAATAAGGCAAACAGAGTATTAGGTTTTATATCTAGAAGTGTAAGTAATAAGAGTGCAGAGGTCTTATTGCAACTATATCTTGCGCTAGTTAGGCCGCACCTCGATTATGCGGTTCAGTTCTGGTGCCCTTATTATAGAATGGATATCAATTCACTGGAGTCAGTGCAGCGAAGAATGACGAACATGATTCCGGGACTTAGAAGCCTTCCACATCAACATAGGTTAAAGAAACTAAACTTGCATTCCCTAGAAAGACGAAGAGTGCGGGGAGATATGATAGAAGTATTTGAGTGGGTGAAAGGAATCAATAAAGGCGATATAGATAAAGTTCTTATAATATCCGAGCAGGATAGGACTCGTAGCAACGGATTTAAGTTGAATGAGTTTAGGTTTAGGAGGGAGATAGGAAGGAACTGGTTCACAAATAGGGTGGTGGACGAGTGGAACAAGCTTAGCAACTTTGTAGTAAGTGCTGGAACGCTGGAAAGTTTTAAAAGGAGGCTAGATAGATTCATGGATAATAGAGAGTGGTAGTAACTCTCGACAGGAGCTGTCATTCACAGGCCAACCGGCCTATTGCAGTCTCCTTGTTTTCTTATGTTCTTATATTCTTATAGCAGAACAAAAAGGAGAGGAGAGGAGGGGAGAGAAGGGGAGGAGAGAGGAGCCGAAGGGAGGAGAGCCGAAGGGAGGAGAGCCGAGGGGAGGCAACAAGTGTGTGATGAATGATGCTTGGGAAGAAACGTGATAAACAGAAGGAAATGAGTAAGAGAAGAGAAGACCCCCCTCTCCTTTCTCCCTCCCATCCCGCCCTCATCCAATCCACTTCACCTCCCCTCACCTTCCTCACCCCCCACCTTTCATGGAAGTATAGTTAATTATGTTCCTCATTAATAGTTACTGTCGAGGTAATTATCTAAGATTATTAGTCAAGGATTCTCAAAAGTTAGTTGGATGGGTTAGGTTAGGTCAAGTCAGGTCAGGTAAAGTTAGGGTAGGGTAGGTTAGGTTAGGTTAGGGTAGGGTAGGTTAGGTTAGGGTAGGTTAGGTTAGGTTAGGAAGCCAGTCTGATGCGTTTCACTAAATATATGAAACTTTAAGAATCAAAATATTAAAACAAATAAAAAAAAAATACGACCATAACAAAATACCTCACTACTTAAGATACGACTCTAAAACTGAGAGAAAATATGGTGTCAGAATCCCCCCAAGACTTTACCTTAACTAGATACTCTTCCCTTGTGCTGGAGTGGAGAGGAAAATACCTCACTTAGGAAACCACGAGAATGTAACCCGGACGTAAGAAAGAGAGGGAGAGCCAAGTTTTAAAACAAGGTTATATTAAGGATCTCGTTACAACGTGTTTACAACGTGTTCAGAACATGATTCACTGGACCATCGTCTTCTAGGGTCTGTTGAGTTAAGGGAGGGAGGTAGAGGAGAGAGTTAAGGAAGGGAGTTAAGGAAGGGAGTTAAGGGAGGGAGTTAAAGGACGGAGTTAAAGGAGGGAGTTAAGGAAGAGAGTTAAGGAAGGGAGTTAAGGGAGGGAGTTAAGGAAGGGAGTTAAGGAAGGGAGTTAAGGGAGGGAGTTAAGGGAGGGAGGTAAGGGAGGGAGTTAAGGAAGGGAGGTAAAGGAGGGTGTTAAGGAAGAGAGTTAAGGAAGGGAGTTAAGGAAGGGAGTTAAGGAAGGGAGTTAAGGAAGGGAGCTAAGGGAGGGAGTTAAGGAAGGGAGGTAAAGGAGGGTGTTAAGGAAGAGAGTTAAGGAAGGGAGTTAAGGAAGGGAGCTAAGGGAGGGAGTTAAGGGAGGGAGTTAAGGGAGGGCGTTAAGGAAGGGAGTTAAAGGGAGCTAAGGGAGGGAGTTAAGGGAGGGAGTTAAGGGAGGGCGTTAAGGAAGGGAGTTAAAGGAGGGAGTTAAGGAAGGGAGTTATGGGAGTGAGTTAAGGGAGGGAGTTTAGTGTAATGATTGTTTATCAGACCACAGCTTACAACCAGAGAAATACAACACATATAGCAGTGAGTACTGTAGATGCCCACGTGGTAACACACATACCAAGTTGACACAACCTGGGTCAGGACCCAAGGGACCTGACCTCGTTCACTAATTGCTTGAGTTAGCCGGGTGACCTACAACCACACCTTGTGTAGAGGCCATTCGCCGGCTGGTTCTCCTCCATATAAAGGGCCTGTAGTCCCATCCACGGGTTTCATTCGTCTCATTCGGGCTCATTATCTCATTCTCGGTATTCACTCGCCCATTGCTCCAGACTCCACTGTCACGTCACTATCGACAGAGGACAGAGTCACGCCTGACCTCCCTCAGGTCAGGAGGGAGACTTCCCTCCCGGCCCCCCGCGTCACCAGCTAAGCAGAGTCTCCCATAGGAGACAGTCCAGAAGCACCTGCTGGGCCTCCCTCAGGTCACATGAATCTTTCCCAGAGCTATCCATAGGGTGAGTTACTTACGGTGAGAAGTGTATTCATTTCATGTTTGTGTCCGAGAGTCAGTGTCTAGTAACGTAAATACAATGTTCGATTAATGTGTCTGTGTCATTGAGTGAAATAATAAATAGTTGTATTGAAGCGGTGTTTGAGAAGTTGTCTCCTAATACGTATAAGATGATATAAGTGTAAATAACTAACCGGCCACCTACCAAACTTCCTCTCTTTACATTCCTACTACTATAAATATTCTACCTATATGTATATCTTTTATGTGAGTTTTTGACTCATTACATAAGGAAGGGAGTTAAGGGAGGGAGTTAAGGAAGGGAGTTAAAGAAGGGAGTTAGGGGAGGGAGTTTAGTACTAAGGGAGGGAGTATCACAGAACACACTAGTATTATCTTCATCATTTACCACAACTTCCATTAATTTGTTTAACTACGATATAAAATCCCTCCTATAAATTTATTCCCATAAACTCAAAAACTCTGTAAATGTGTTTTTGTTTTTTTATCAGAGGAATATAAACAACCCGGTTATATAGATATATACTTGGATCACCTTTAGATTAGACCCCCTATTTAGTTCACCTGATCATTAAACACCCTAACGCTACCTGGTGGATTGGGTTAGGTTAGGTTAGCGACAATACCGTAGATACATTACAACAAAACAATACCTACTTTTATTAATAGCTCACATGTCATGTTTATATTGCTGTGTTTCTCTACAATGATGGGAGGTGAGGTTGAAGGCGTGGGAGGCTCATACACTCACCTGGAACACTGGGAGGGCGTGGGAGGTGAAGTTGAAGGTGTGCTGACCCTGGTGGAGGCTGGCTTGGAGGTGGAAATGCTGCGGTAGTCCTCCGCTTCCCCCGGCCACACACTTTAGCTTGACGGAGGTGGACGTACCTAGGCCCACCGTGCAGTTGCTGGGGGAGTCTGGCTTACCTGGGGGAGGGGGAGGTTACTGGGGAGTTTACCTGGTAGAGACGTCCTAATAAGCCCTTTGTCTTAATAGGACCCAGTTCTAATAATAAGCTCTAGTTCTAATAGGTCCCAGTTCTAATAGGCCCCAGTTCTAATAGGTTCCAGTTCTAATAGGTCCCAGTTCTAATAGGCCCCAGTTCTAATAGGCCCCAGTTCTAATAGGTTCCAGTTCTAATAGGGTTCCCAGTTCTAATAGGTAGGGCCCCAGTTCTAATAGGTCCCCCGGTTCTAATAGGTTCCAGTTCTAATAGGTTCCGGTTCTAATAGGCCCCAATTCTAATAGGTTCCAGTTCTAATAGACCCCAGTTCTAATAGGCCCCAGTTCTAATAGGCCCCAGTTCTAATAGGTTCCAGTTCTAATAGGTCCCAGTTCTAATAGGTCCCAGTTCTAATAGGAACCAGTTCTAATAGGTTCCAGTTCTAATAGGTTCCAGTTCTAATAGACCCCAGTTTAATAGGCCCCAGTTCTAATAGGTTCCAGTTCTAATAGGTCCCAGTTCTAATAGGTTCATGCTCTAATAGGTTCCAGTTCTTACCAATGTCATCTTAATCATTAGGATTGCAACTAACATTAAATCATTCCACCTCCAACATTCTCATTCCACCTCCAACATTCACCAACAACCCCCAACAAAGTATAATTTTTACAACAAGGGTAAATATAACTGCACCTGGCGTCACATTTTCTACTTCACAATCTTAAGGGGAGACATAATGAAATTTCCTCAAGGTAACACACCACATAAAACTCCTCACCGTCCGCTTTGGGGTGTCTAGTGTACCTTAGGACTGATGAATGTTTGGTGTGGTTGGATTATTAGAGACGGTAGTACAGGTGTAGATAGGTAAAAGAGTAAGATGGACAGGTGAAGGTAGGTCATTAGACAGGTAGACGGTAGTTCAGGTGTAGACAGGTAAAATAATAAGCAGGTGAAGGTAGATCATTATACAGGGAGACGGTAGTACAGGTATAGACAGGGTTACCTAGACCTGTGTATGAGGACCTCACCTGCAGGAACAATATGGAAGACGCAGGGGTCCCTCTGGCTACCGATGGCGTTGGTAGCCCAGCAGAGGAGCGTCCCGTAGTCGAGGGAGGTCATGGGAGTGTAGGTGATGACGCTGTGGCTCTTGGTGGAGGTGAAGCGACCCTGAGGCACGTCGATGGTGTCCGCCGTGTTGTTGAACGTCCACTGGAAGGACTCCTGCACGGGGTTGGCATCCACGGAACAGGTCACCTCAGCGTCCTCATAGCGACCCACAGCGTAGGTAGTGACCTGACCAAGTGAGCACACGGGGGCGTCTGAGGTGTCGAGGACAAGAGAGGTCAAAGGTCATGTTTAATCCATGGAAACAGTACGTGGGAATGTCTGTCTGAACGATACTAATGTTGTGTTTACAGAGGAACGTTTGCTTGCAGGGGAGGAGCTAAGACTGTTTGCTACAGGTGAACAAATATATTTACGTGGGCACTTCTGTTTACGGGGGAAAACAATAGTGAATTTACGTGGAAATTTCTGTTGATAAAGATTCATAAGTGACGTTTATATACGGATCTTCGCAACGGGATCACTATATATACTCTAAAGGAATATACCAACTTTAAACGGGTATATTTCTGTTGACATGAGAGCAAATATTGAAGTGAAAATAGGTGTTTGGAGAACGAGGAATAATTTCATGAGAACGAATACACGGTGTTGACTCAGCTTACTCAACCACAGTCTAAACACTCCCAGCCACACCCTCAAAACACACTCACTTAGTCATACACACTTGTTTACATACACTTACACGTAGTTGCTCTCCCCAACACACACACACACACACACATATACTCAACACGCCCTTACTTATCCAAACACACCTACATGCACTCATCAAACATTCACACACACACTTAACACCCGCCCCCCCCCATCTATCAGTTACTTACACTTAACGTCGAGTCTCAGAGAGTTAGAGGCGCCATCACCAACTAGGTTATGGGCGTGGCAAGAGTACCTCCCCGCCTGGGCCCTGTAGACCTTCTGCAGCACCAAGCTCTGATTACTGATGATGATCCCAGCTGATACATTGTGCACCAGCTCCGCATCCTGCCGTAGCCGAGAATATGGGAGAACAGCAGTGTTGGGAGGAATACAACATGGGAGAACGATGGAGAACAGTGTTAAGGGAGCAGTATAACATTGCAGAACACATAAAAACACAGAGTCCGAAAATAAAGTTAATCCTTAACTGTGAAATGAAACTGAACTCTGATTTCCAATTACATCCATTAAGTTAGTCTGGGTTAACCTGAGTCATGTTAAGAGTGAGCTAGGTTAAATTAAGTTAAATAAAGGGTATCTTATGTCAAATTCGGTTAGTTTTACGTTAAATTAGATTAGGTAGTTTTAAAAGAATTAGGTTCAGAGTAGGTTAAATTTCGTTAGATTTAGGTAGGTTAAGTTACGGGATTAGTTGGAGGGTGACTCACATTATGTCGCCAGGAAACATGTGTGACTCTGGGGTTGGCCTCAATAGTACACTCAAAGTACACGTCATCTCCCTCCTTGATGTTCCCAGAGTTCAGTGATGACCCGAAGCTGCACGTCGCCTTCGGTATGTCTGGTGAAGGTGTGGGGGTTAGTGACGAAAGTGTAGGGGTTAGCCATGGCAAGATTTTAAGGGGGCCATGGCGGGCAAGTGTAAGTAGTATATGTTTGGAGAAAAATTGGAAACTCTGATTCAACTTTTTTTTTGTTACTTTGCCTTGTTAGGGGAGAATTTGTTTTTCAATCATAATACCCGTACGGTACAGTTTTGATATTTACACAGTATGGTGCAGCAGCGTGTTTTTCATTTCCAACGGAGTCGCTCAGATTGCACGATTCTAATTCCTGTCAGCAGGGTGACGGGCGCTGGACACTGATCTCACATGTTCTGTACATGACCTTGTGTCATCGCTTTACAAACGGTGATCAGACCGAATGTTCTCAGTCTGGCTCAAGATATCATGAGGAAAATATGTGAGTGTACTGTGAGTGGACTGTATGTGTATGTTTTACGTGTGGTCGTATAGGCATTTTATGTACGTTTACATACTGTATGTATGGACTTTATGCATGTTTGTGTGTTTGCCATTCCGATTTTTGTCTCATTTTTGTTTTTTATTATTATAATTTTTAGTCTTTATCACACATCTGTTTCTGTCTGTTTGACATTGTTTATTTATAATTTTCTTAGAGTTGCGATGGCTGCCAGTGTTGCTAAGAAGCGGAAGTACAATGATGAATACATTAACTACGGATTTACATCAATCCTCGCTGATGGCACACGAGAAACCTCAGTGTGTGTTGTGGTTCAAAGTGCTGGGGAACGATTCCACGAGGCCTAGTAAGCTGAAGCATCATCTGACGACAATCCATCCCCAGTATGCGGAGAGAGACCCCGATTTCTTCAAGCGCCATAAACGGAGTTTGGGAAAACAGAGACTGGATGAGAGTGGTAAACAGAACTTAGTGTAGTTGAGGCATTATATGAGATTTCCAATGAAATAGCAAAGAAGAAGAAGGGCCACACGATTCGTGAAACTTTAATTAAGTCGTTTGCTTTAAAGATGGTCAAGCGGGTTCTTGGAGAGGCAAGTGAACGTAAGATTCAGCAGATTTCCTTGTCAGACGACACGGTGAAACGGAGAATTAGTGAAACGTCATATTATATCATGGAACAAGTGATACAGAAGATGAAATCGTCTCCAACTGAATGAGTCAACGGATGTGAGTTCTTGTGCACAGCTTGAAACTACCACAATTGCCTTAAATGTGATGGAAAAGTTAACTTCTTTCTTCACAGCTAACGGGATCACCTGGGAAAATTTTTGTGGAGTCTGTACTGATGGGGCTCCGGCGATGCTGGGATCGAAATTGGCGTTACAGAAGCACGTCAAGGAAGTAGTTCCGAATGCCAAAGGGGTTCATTGTATGATCCATCGTTTTGCACTGGCGTCGAAAACCCTCCCTGGTGCCCTTTGCAAGATCCTGGAGGCAGTGGTAAAATGAGTCAACTTTGTGGAAGTAGGAGATTTGAACTCTCGCCTTTTCCAGAACCTCTGTAGAGGCATGGATTCAGAGCATGAAACCCTCCTCTTTTACTCCAAAGAGCACTGGCTTTCCAAGGGTAATGTTGTGTTCGAACTTCGGGGACAACTTAAGTTGTTCCTGGAAATGAAAGGGAAGGATGATCTAGTAAGTCACTTCAACGAGGTGTCGTGGGAGCCACGTCTTGCGTACCTGGCAGACATATTTGAGCAGCTAAACAGGCTGAAGCTCAAGCTACAAGGCAAGGAAAGAAATGTGTTTCACCTCATGGATTGTATTCGTGCATTTCTTGACAAACTCCAGAACTGGCAAAGGAAAGTCAGTGCAGGAAATGTTGCCATGTTGAGCATTTCTCAACTGTTCTTGACGAGATTGAAGAGGATCATCTACTTGACCCATCACTCAAAAAATGAAATAATTCAACACTTGAAAGCCTTGGAAAGTGAGCTCAAAAGGTACTTCCCAGAATTCGAAGAGGAAGAAGGGAAATTGGTGAGGAATCCTTTCTTTGGCACTCTTGTTATTGCTGCCATTCCCGACTATGTTCAGGACGAATTCCTCGATCTCAGGAACGAATCTGCTGCCAGAGACCTCTATGAAGAAAAATCTCTGACTGTATTCTGGTGCTCAATGTATCAGTCGTATCCAAAAGTTAGTGAAATTGCACTTCGAGTCCTCTTGCCATTTTCTACTACTTATTTATGTGAATCTGGTTTCTCCACCTTCTTCAAATAGAGAATAAAAGCCGAAACCGGTTACATGTGGACCCAGACATGAAATGTGCTTTATCAGTGACTCAACCTCGAATCAGTCGACTGACTGAAAGGAAACAATGTCATCCATCCCATTGAACTGTAACAAAATATGCATTCTGTTTGATGATTGAAAACATTAAAATAAAGGAAGAGAACCAAAACAGTTTATTTTGATCATTATTTGTGAGGGGCTTGGGAGAGAACTGAAGGGGGGCCATGTTGAGTGTTCCTCATGGGGGGAATGACGTGAAAAAATTTGAGAAACACTGAGCCATTAGTGGCAAAGGTGTAGGGGTTAGTGGCAAAGGTGTAGGGGTTAGTGGCGAAGGTGTAGGGGTTAGTGGCAAAGGTGTAGGGGTTAGTGGCGAAGGTGTAGGGGTTAGTGGCAAGGTGTAGGGGTTAGTGGCGAAGGTGTAGGGGTTAGTGGCAAAGGGGTTAGTGGCGAAAGGGGTTAGTGGCAAAGGTGTAGGGGTTAGTGGCGAAGTGTGGTGGCAAAGGTGTAGGGTTAGTGGCAAAGGTAGGGTTAGTGGCAGTGGCAAAGGTGTAGGGGTTAGTGGGCAAAGGTGTAGGGGTTAGTGGCAAAGGTGTAGGGTTAGTGGAAGGTGTGGGGTTAGTGGCAAAGGTGTAGGGGTTAGTGGCTGTAGGGTAGGGCAAAGGTGTGTTAGCAAAGGTGTAGGGGTTAGAAGGTGTAGTGCTAGTGGCAAAGGTGTGGGAGGTTAGTAGGTGCAAAGGTGTAGGTTAGTGGCGAAGGTGAAAAGGGGTTAGGGCGAAAAGGTGTAGGGGTTAGTGGCAAAGGTGTAGGGGTTAGTGGCGAAGGTGTAGGGGTTAGTGGCGAAGGTGTAGGGGTTAGTGGCAAAGGTGTAGGGGTTAGTGGCAAAGGTGTAGGGGTTAGTGGCGAAGGTGTAGGGGTTAGTGGCAAAGGTGTAGGGGTTAGTGGCGAAGGTGTAGGGGTTAGTGGCTAAGCGATGCTACAAAAATTATACCAATTATACAGTAAATAACAAATACATAATCCGGCTTCAAGTTTCAATCTCATTCACTCGAGTTGTTACTGGGAACTGCTTGACATCAGGCCAGAGAGCGCCCGTCAGCCAGAGTACAATTGGTGGAGCGCTTGACTATCTAACCTAACCAAATCTCCCCTAGAATGAGTAGGTTAGTTTTGATTGGTTAATGTGATCTTTTGTCAATTTATACACAAACCCTGATCAACTTTAAACATGAAGCGCTCAGACCAATCACACACTGGCTGTCGCGCGTTATTTAGTGGTATGATATTATTCTTAGCATCATAAATAGGGTTTAAGAATAGCTTACGGGTGGTGTGAATGAGTGGGAGAAGCTTAAGACATAAATTATCAGTTATCAAAAATTAATTAAAGATTGACTCAAGGATGGTTGATAATTGTAATATGTGTCTATAATTATATACTATTCCATGTGGCTATATATTGTAAAGACGATATAAACTATAGGAAGTGATATATAGACACATCACATGAAGATTAGATACCCCAGCTTATTTTTACCCGATGATTAAACACTCTAACGCTATCTGGGGGGGGAGGGGAGGTTAGGTTTGGTTAGGTTAGGATACATACAGTTTACAGTAAGGTTATAGGAGTCCTCAAGGATGGCTGGCAGGCCGACCACACAGCGGAGAATCGAACCATGGTCCTCAGGTCGTGGGTTGAGTAACACTGTACTGGTGGTTACGTTGCCATCTGCTGAGGTCTGGAAGAGAGAGACAAGGAAGGTGTTAATAGATGATATAAAGGAGAGGGGGAAGGAAGAGAAGGAGAAGGAGGAGGAGGAGGGGAACAAAGAGGAAGAGGAGGAGGAGGAGGAGGAAGAGGAAGATGGAGAATTTGAAGAGAAATAACAACAACAACGACAAGAAGAAGAACAAGAAGAATTGAAGAAAAAAAAAGAGAATCACACGAACAAATTCTCTCCACCATACTACTCATCGAACTGGGGACCTCACATCCATCAGTCCAGTATCGTAACCACTAAACCACCACACTTAACACAAGTACCCCCGCCACATCCCACCACCCCATGAAAACACCACAGTAACACACCCCCCCTCCCCACTACCCCTCTCCTCCACCTCATGAAAACAATTACAAAAACCAACATCCTTATCCATCTCACAGGCACGCCATGGTAGTTGGGGATAGTTAAGGAAGAGACACTGCCGCAATTAGGACATGCAGCAGTTATGAGTGGTGGACTGTTACAGACGGACTGGCTTAACTGGAGGCAAGAGGCGTAAGATAAGAGGATGGGAAGATAGTGGAGGAGTTTGGCGAATGGGAGTAATTAGAATGTTGATGTTTATGATAGGAATGAGAGGAGAGAGGAATATTAGGTGGGGGTAAATGAGGAGGTGGGAGAGGAGAGGAGAGGGTGGGGATGGGGGGAGAAGAGGAGAGAAAGGGAGGTAACGAGGAGGGTGAGAGATAAGGATGAGGAGAGGAGGAGGAAGGGGAGCAAGAAGAAGTGGAAAAGAGGAGCAGAAAGAGAGGGGGATAGGATTGGATAAGAAGAGGAGAGTAGGGGGTAGGGAAGGAGAAGAAGATGTAGGTTATGTATCTATGCTACTGTGCCGAGTAGCAACCTTGTAAATAAGCTACCGTGCCGAGTAGCATATATATATGTAATTACGTGGCAACACTGCACGTGTTATGTGGCAACATTGCCCCGAGGCTGCCATATGGCAAGGCAGTCTCAGTCTGACTCTGTGGGCCGTGCATGGCACACGCTAGTCACCACTTGTATTTCTCCTATCCGTTAATAAATGGACTTCGGTGTTACCCGGTGTTTCCCTACCCATCACTGCCTTCTTCAGGGAACACCTGGAACCTTCATGGGGCAGTGAGTAGGATCTGTGGACTTACAAGTGTGTGAACAATGGACAGTTAGCCGGCGTTGTGCGACTGCCGGCGATGTGCGTGTCGACTCTTAGTGTGTTGTGTTGTGTTGCGTTGTGTTTCGCCGCGACATGCAGTGTTGCGCCGTCACAGTGCGTTTTAGTGACGGTGGCAGTGTTAGTGTCAGTGTATTAGTGTGTCTAGAGCTGAGAGTTGAACATTGGCCTCTTTTTTGTGGTACCCACGGAGCACACAGGCGTACACCCTTCTCGTGTGACATCGGGGAGACACTGACGTTCTTGCCTCCGCGGCGGCCACCACGATCAGCTCTCTGAGACACACACACACACACACACACACACACACACACACACACACACACACACACGCACTCATGGACAGAACAGTGGACTCTATGCGTTATTTCTGCGCTGTTTATGTCATATATATGTGATTCGAGCTGATGAGGCGCCACTTTATATACTAAACAGCGCAGTTCAAGCATACTAAGATGGGCGGTAAGAAGGGACAACGTCAAGATGGGAGACACGACTCCCCACCACCATCCCCTCCACCGGGCGCAGACTCTCATCCTCCACCTGCAGCGACGGACATTGCCACAATTCTGAGGTGGATGGACGACAGGGACGGGAGACGCAGAGACATGGAACTTCAGAGGGAGGAGACACGAAGAGAGGAGGAAAAGGCGCGTTTTGATGCACTATTGGCGACCCTGGCACTAACCCACCCTCCCTCACTCGCAGGTTTCGCGCACCAAGGCGCCAATACCCTCCCTCCTCCACCACACCAGCGTCCTCCAGGCACTCTTGCTACTCCAGCAGCTCCCAAGGTATCTGTTCACTCCCCACCCGCCCTCTCACCAGACATCACGTTTCAGCTTTTTCGTGAGTGGAGGCGGCGGTGGACAGATTACTCCACGATGGTGGACCTTGATAGCATGCCTCCAAACAAACAGCTCATCCAACTGCAGATGTATTTGTCGCTGGAGACCCAGAGAGTTTTGGAGCACACGTTGCAAGTGCCTCCCAATTCTACGTCTTCAGTGACGGATGTGCTCGACCTTTTACAGGAGCATGTTAAAGGTCGGAATAACGAGTCTTTGCGTGGCCGCACCTTCACCAGCTGCAAGCTGGCGGAGAATGAATCCTTTGACGACTTTTTTGTACGTTTGAAGAGTTTGTCGGAGGAGATCGACGTCTGCAAGGCGCACAGCCGGGAATGTGAGGAAGCCTGGATCAAGCACGGGATTTTGACAGGTGTCAGGCAAGAAGAGTTGGTGCAGCGACTCATTTCCCTGGACGCTTCCTCCACACTCCAGGTGGTAGTGACTGAATGTCTCACAGTACAAGAAGGGTAAGAAGGCGGCCAACAACGTGAAAGCTGCCGCACGTTCTTCCACGCCTCCGCCTAGTGCTTCCTGTGGCAGCTGTGGAAAGCAGCATGGCCCCAAGACATGCCCGGCCGCCGACGTACTGTGTCGTGGATGTGACCGTAAGGGCAACTGGTCTAACACAGACAGGTGCCCTGCACGAGGCCACAAGTGTCAGGCCTGCGGTCGTTATGGACACTACAACAAGTGCTGCATCCAACCCAAGCCCAAAAGCCAGAGACGAGGAGGAAAGCAGCGCACTTCCCTCGGGGTGGTTTGCACGCAGCCCCCTTCAGATGGCCCACGCAGTCCCAAGCAGCAGCTGAGTCACATCAGGAGGGTGGAATCGACCACACGCCCCAGGGCTACCCCTTCCCCTACCATCCGCGTCGCCGTCACACATGGTGATGTGTCGGGTCACATCGAGGTGATACCGGACACCGGCGCTGATACTACTGTGATAGGCCTGAAGCACCTCCAGAAGCTGGGCCTCACCAAACGCGGCCTGGGACCACCGCCGCAGCTGCAGTACTACAATGCGGACGGTTCCCAGATGCTGGACGCTGTGGGCTCCTTTCAAGCGGAGATCACCTACGGCGACAGGTCGTGTCACGGATGGATCGACGTGCAGCCTACTCTCGCTACACCCTTGTTGTCGTGGGAGCACTGCAAGGAGTTAGGCGTGGTGCCAGAGACTTTTCCGAGCAGATCCCAGCTGCTCGGTACACCGCCAGCAGGGTGCGTGAATCAACGAGCGACGCACCTGGCGCTGCCTCACAGAGCTGCCCAGAACCCGCGTCCACTCTCACCCACACAGGACGCTCCCCTGCCCAGATCCTGTATGGTCACCCTCTCCGCTTTTGCGTTCTTGCACACGTCAAGGCCTTTGCGAAGGAGTGGCAGACCAGAGCCGAGAGCTGCGACCGCCGCGCCGCTACACGTGCCCAGGGCGCCAAGGCTGGAGATTGGTGCCCTTGTCCGCGTCCAGGACCCGACGATGACAAGAACAAGGTGGGCATAGTGATGGGCGTCGGCCGGTCGCGGGACTACAAGGTCAGGATGCCGAGCGGCCGTGTCTGGTGGAGGAACCGCCGCTTCCTCCGGCCAGTCCCACCCCCAGCTGCTGGCCCCCTGACCGAGGACGAGTCCCCTACACCTCACGAGGATCCGCCCCACAGTGCACCTCGACGCTCGGAGCGACTTAGGACTAAGAAGTCCGCTCAAGACAAAGACTATGAGCGTGAGGGGGGGAGGGAGATGTAGGTTATGTATATAAGCTACTGTGCCGAGTAGCAACCTTGTAAATAAGCTACTGTGCCGAGTAGCATTTATATATGTAATTACGTGGCAACACTGCACGTGTTATGTGGCAACATTGCCCCGACGCTGCCATATGGCAAGGCAGTCTCAGTCTGACTCTCTGGGCCGTGCATGGCATACGCTAGTCACCACTTGTATTTCTCCTATCAGTTAATAAATGGACTTCAGTGTTACCCGGTGTTTCCCTACCCATCACTGCCTTCTTCAGGGAACACTTGGAACCTTCAGAAGAGAGACGAGTAATAAAAAGAGAAGACAGAGGAGAGAAGAAGAGAAATGGGGAAGAGGAAGAATAAAAAATGAAGGCACCTAACCAAACACTAACATAACTTAACCTAGCCTAATCTCATTTCCGCTTATACTATAGGGCAGCACATAACATTGTTACCCAATATACACATCTCCCACACACCCTAACACACCCCAGCACACCCTAACACACCCCAGCAGACCCTAACACACCCAAGCACACCCTAACACACCCAAGCACACCCTAACACATCCCAGCACACCCTAACACACCCAAGCACACCCAAACACACCCAAGCACACCCTAACACATCCCAGCACACCCTAACACACCCAAGCACACCCTAACACATCCCAGCACACCCTCACACACCCAAGCACACCCTAACACACCCAAGCACACCCTAACACACCCCAGCACACCCTAACACACCCAAGTACACCCTAACACACCCCAGCACACCCTAACACACCCAAGCACACCCTAACACATCCCAGCACACCCTAACACGCCCCACGCTGATGACTTACCTATCGATTGCTACGCCTATGTTTAACTAATGGACCAATTATATGTGGGTGCTCTGTCACACACACACACACACACACACACACACACACACACAGTAATGCTAACCTTGAACTTCTTAAACAAACTAAATAAATAAGAACAAATATGTGAGTAAATGCAAGAGTGTGGGTGGGTGCTCCACTCACCTGGCGGCCAATTAGCGTGCCTGAGCCAGGTACAAAGACAAGTGGGCGGAGCTTTAGTCATACGGCAATTCTTCGGAACCTCTGTTGGTGTAACTTAATAGCGCACCTGATAGACACCCCAGCTTATTTTACCTGAAGATTAGACACCCCAGCTTATTTTACCTGAAGATTAGACACCCCAGCTTATTTTACCTGAAGATTAGACACCCCAGCTTATTTTACCTGAAGATTAGACACCTCAGTTTATTTTACCAGAAGATTAGATACTTCAGCTTATTTTACCTGAAGATTAGACATCCCAGCTTATTTCACCTGAAGAAAAATCCCCCAAAATTACCTGGATGGGAAGTAAGTCAGAGTAGATTAGGTTAGGTTAGGTCATGTGATTAAGTCCTGAACACAAGGTGACATTGGCTTAAAGGGGTCACGTAACTCTGTGATACTTGGGATACCTTGTGTAACGCAGGAGAGAGAGACCCCTACTTGGCTTAAGGTTCCCACTTATCATTACTCCTAAATCTCTCTCGCAGTCGGATTTCTCTATGGCATCGTTGTTCATCTGGTATCTGGTTTCCCTGTTTACATCTCCTATACTGAGTACTTTACATTTGTCCACGTTGAATTTCATCTGCCATTTTTCAGACCATTCAAAAATTTTTAGATCTTCCTGTAGTTTTGCTGAGTCCTCGTCAGATTTAATAACACGTCCTATTTTAGTGTCATCAGCAAATTTACTTATGTTGCTGTCTATGCCGATATCTATGTCGTTTATGTATATAATAAATAATAATGGTCCAAGTACTGAGCCTTGGGGAACCCCACTTGTGACGTTGCTTCAATGGGACTTAGTGCCGTTAATGCTCACTAGCTGTTTCCTGTCCTGTAACCACGCCCTAATCCATTTAAGGATGTTACCTTTGATTCCATGAGCTTCTACCTTTCGAATTAGTCTTTCATGGGGGACTCTGTCGAAGGCTTTGCTAAAGTCGAGATATACCACATCATAATTGTGCCCCTCATGCACCGATTCGAAAACTGATGAAAAGAATGTTAATAGATTAGTTAGACAAGAACGTCCGCTTGTGAAGCCATGCTGGGAATCATTGATCAATTGGTGCTTCTCCAGGTGATTTCGAATAGAGTTTGAAATGATTGCTTCCAGTAATTTGCCTACTATTGATCTTAGACTGATTGGGCGGTAGTTAGAGGATAGTGATCTATCCCCCTTCTTGAAAATCGGTATTACATTCGCTATCCTCCAGGATTCTGGTACTACACCCGTTTTTAAGGACATGTTAAACAACTTTGCTAAGGGCATACTAAGCTCTTCCTTACATTCCTTTAATACTCTGGCAAATATCTCATCGGGACCAGGTTACTTATTAGGCTTTAGTTTGTCTATTTGCTTACTAACATCGTTACTAGTCACTACTATCTCGCTTAATTTGTTTTCTTCACTATCTCTGAATAGAGTCGGTGCCTCGGGTATCATGTTTAAATTTTCGGTGGTGAAAACTGTTGACAAATATTTATTCAAATTATTGCTCATTTCTCTGTCGTTATCAGTGAGCTCGCCGGTGTCTGACCGTATTGGCCCAATCTTTTCTCGTGTTTTAGTTTGATACATTTGGTAGAATCTTTTGGGGTTTGTCTTCGTCTCCCTTGCTATCCTTACCTCGTTATTCCTCTTTGCTTTCCTTATCTCGGTTTTAACCCTACTCGCCAATACCCTATAATAGTCCCGGAGGTGAATTTCGCCACGATTTATCCTTCTACCTATAGCCTTCCTTTGGCTAATCTATTTTTAACATAACCTAACTTAACCGAAACATAATTAATCGTAATATAACCTAAGCTAAGACTAATATCTCCTCACTTAACCTAACCCAACTATAACGTAACCTAATCTAATACAGTATTAACCTAACCTAACCTAACCTAACATATCCTCACTTAGCTTAACCTAACCTTACTGAAACTAACACTCACATAACCTGAACTACCTTTAATTAAACCTACTCTAATCTAGTGTAACTTACCTTAACCAAACCTAACTTAACTTACACTTCACTTAACCAAACCTAACTTAACTTACACTTCACTTAACCAAACCTAACCTAACCAAACTCAATTTCAATATGAGAACTTTAGAGTCACAGCCGTATAAAGAGATTAACAATAAGCAAGTTAATCGTGGAATCCATAACACACACACACATGGAAGCTTTTCATGGACAAAATTTCGAAACATTATAATCTTAGGGGTTTAACAGAGAAATAATGAAGTTACTCCTTCAACCTTCAGAGAGTTTACGTTCTCTACTCCGTTTCCGTTTTCTGTTGCATTTCCACTTACATCTGAGGTTACATTACTTCTCTCAGTTTACATTACTTCTCTCAGTTTACATTACTTCTCTCAGTTTCCTTTTACTTTTCTCAGTTTACATTTCCCTGCAGCCTCGTCATCAGTCCAGCACTTCAACATCCTGTTCAGCCAACATTTACTTACCCCAAATCCATGTCGCAGCCCGGGTAAAAAAACACCAATGTTTACCATGCAACGTACACAGATTAACTTCCTGGCTGGGAATGTAAGATTTTTATGCTAAACAAACATTAAGGACAGAGTTTATCGGCAATAAGAAACATTTGCTACATGTTTAATGTGTGTGCGTGTGTGTGTGTGCATTTCACCTAAGGATTAACCACCCTAACGCTAAATGGGGGGTTAGGTTAGGTTATCGTTAAGCTGGTTAATCTTTAGGTGAAATAAGCTGGGGTAGGTTAGGTTATCGTTAAGCTGGTTAATCTTTAGGTGAAATAAGCTGGGTTAGTTAGGTTAGGTTATCGTTAAGCTGGTTAATCTTTAGGTGAAATAAGCTGGGGTAGGTTAGGTTATCGTTAAGCTGGTTAATCTTTAGGTGAAATAAGCTGGGGTACAGATTGTTCAGGTGATACTATTGTATATATAAAGAGAGAGAGGTACTGATCATAGCTGGTACTTTCCCTGGCTGGCATTGTCAGTCATGGTACAAACCCTGGATGGTACTAACCGTGGTTGGTACTGTCCCTCATGGTACTAACCCTGGATGGTACTGACCGTGTCTGGTACTGTCCCTCATGGTACTGACCCTGGATGGTACTGACCGTGACCTCGGCCTGAAGAAGCTGGTGCTGATTAATCCACCAGGTGAGAGCAGGTGAGGGTCGGGCGCCCACCACCACACACGCCACCCTGTACTCCACTCCAGCTGTCAGGGGGTCCTCTTCAGGGGGGCGGATCTCCACACTAAGGGGGGACACTAAGAAGGTTGGGAGGGGGGGAAAGGGGGGGGGGTAAGTAATAAACAGATGAAGTGGTAGTATTAAACAGGTAACTGGAAGGCCAACTGACTCCGTGAGGGGACCCGAATGAGTGGACTGATATGAAAACAAGATTTATATTGAGTATGGAGTGACACAACAGTTATCACAAGTATTTTTCACTCGTGCATGAAATACTTTGGCTATAAGGAACGGCTCTGTATCATATTTTTAACCGTTAATAAAGTGTAAAGGCGCGAGACACTTTACGCTAGAGTTACTTACGGTTCATATCGACAGAGACGCTGACGGAGGCAGCTGAGGTAATGTTGTTATTGAAAGCTTCACATGTCAACAACAGCTGCAAGTCGCCTCGGCTCAGGGGCCCTAGAGTGAGCGTATTGAAAGGTTCACCTTGGTAAGCTGTGATTGGCTCCTCCTCTTGCTCCTTAGGCCCCGGCTCGAGCGTAGTGAAACCCTCTACTGAATGGGCTTCTTCCGTGGTGTTTCCTGAAGCCTGGGACTCCATGTAGCTGTCCAGAAGTTGTGTGGCCTTGTACCACACTACTGACGGTCGTGGGCTTCCTGTGGGTGTAAACGCCTGAGGTAAATAAACCAGAGATTATGCTCTCCTGGCGCTAATAATCCTGCAGGAACGAAAACATCTTTTGTTTACATCTGTGGACCCGATGTCGGTCCGGGGACGCTGAGTTATCGTTTACAGACGAAAAAGAATTGATTTTGGAACAGCTCTGAAACACCTTCATTATACATCACCGGAGGATCAAACACCATATTCAAGCCACGACAAGAGTAAACAAAACCGTAGATAAGACACTGGAATAAAGAACAAATAGAAAAATAAGGAATATATGTGAAGAAAAACCAAAGGATTGTGAGAAATTAGATATAAAGTTGGTTGCCTGAAACGACCGCCCGTTGTCCTCAGGAGAGTGTGTGTACATAGCAGAGGAAGGAAAGAGAGAGAGCAAGGTAAATAAATCCCGAGAGAAGGGAAAAGTGAGGAGGGGAGAACATTATCCTGTTGTCTGAGAGAGAGAAAGAGAGAGAGAATAGGGGAGGATTGAAAGAGAGAGAGAGAGAGAAACTGAGTAAAACGGAGAGGGTGGGGGGGGGGCAGAGGAGAGAAAAAGAGGGGAAGGAAGAGAGGAGGAAGGACAGTAATCGCCTGTGTCGTTTTCTTTATAAACTGTAATGATTTCTGAGAGAGAGAGAGAGACAGAGAAAGAAAGAGAGAGAACTGAAAAGAAACAAAGTGAGATAAATAGAAAGATAGACAAATATATAACTAAATATCTTGTCCGGTGAGAAGGTTGAATTTCTGGCACACCTCCAACAGAAACTGGAATTACTGATGCCTTATCCAACTTAACTCAGGGTTGCATTGCCGAACAAAAGCAGTGGTACAAAGCCGACCCTCGCCACCCTCTCTGACCAAACTTCACTTGAAATTATCCCTGGGTGTCTTCCTTTATAATGGCTAACTTCGGGATAAAGTTTCATTAGAGATCCATTAAGCTTTGACGGAGATTAGAAGCTGGTCTGTAAGTGATTTAGCTGTATAGTGGAGGAATACACACACACACACACACACACACCCTTCTGCTCTCCCCCACACCCACACACACATACCCACACCCACTCCTCACCCACACACACACATACCCACACCCACTCCTCACCCACACAAACATACCCACACCCCCTCTCCCCACACTGTCATGAACTAACACGGTATTCTCCCACTCATGTCTTGTTAAAGGAGTTTCAGAAGGTGGAAAAACTTGGTCCACTCTTAAGAAGCTCAAAGTTTTTCCTTATCAAGTATAACCAAAGGAGAACTGAGGGGCCCAAACTGTTAGGAAGGAAGGAAGGAAGGAAGGAAGGAAGGAAGGAAGGAAGGAAGGAAGGCAGAAAGGAAGGAAGGATGGAAGGAGAGTGCGTTATGAAAGAAGGAAGTCAAATAAATGATGGATGGGAAGGAAGGAAAGAAACAAGGAAGGATGAAAGAAAGGAAGGAAGAATGTGACAAAAAATAATATATATTTAGGAAAGATAACAAGAGATGATTAAGAATGAGGGAGAAAGAGAGAATGTGATAAGTATTAAATTGGTGTCAAGTAAAGATGAATTTGACAGCAAGACACCTCTCACTAACACCACCTTAGGCCCCGGGTGACGTACCAGAACGTCAGCCTAGTTTCCAGCTTTTTTTTTTTTATAATGTTGAATTTTTTTTCGCGATTTAACCCCGCGTGGAGGTTCTGCCAGCAGCATCCTAACCCGGGGCATAAGGTTATCAATTCTCACCTGTTGCATTGATTCCACACCTGGCCATGCTCACCTAATTAACATTCAATCAGGCATTCTGGTCATATAGAGTTATCCATGGGTGATAATTATAATGGTTAAATTATTCCTTACAGAGAGAGAGAGAGAGAGAGAGAGAGAGAGAGAGAGAGAGAGAGAGAGAGAGAGAGAGAGAGAGAGAGAGAGAGAGAGAGCAGAAATTACAACATACACTAATAAAATAGAAAGAAATACACAACATATTCACAGTTAATACAAGGAAATAATACATAGAAATAATGTATAAAAATCATACAATAAAGTTATACATTTACCCAATACATGAAAAATACAATGTTCTTTTTTGTGTATTTCCAGCGAGGCAGTTTATTGGATGCATCTTAGTAGTGAACGGTGGCTTAATAACCCTGGTAGTTGAAGCACCAAGACCTATTAGTGAACGGTGCTTAATAACCCTGGTAGTTGAAGCACCAAGACCTAGTAGTGAACGGTGCTTAATAACCCTGGTAGTTGAAGCACCAAGACCTAGTGAACGGTGACCCTGGTAGTTGAAGCACCAAGACCTAGTAGTGAACGGTGCTTAATAACCCTGGTAGTTGAAGCACCAAGACCTAGTGAACGGTGCTTAATAACCCTGGTAGTTGAAGCACCAAGACCTAGTAGTGAACGGTGCTTAATAACCCTGGTAGTTGAAGCACCAAGACCTAGTGAACGGTGCTTAATAACCCTGGTAGTTGAAGCACCAAGACCTTGTGAACGGTGCTTAATAACCCTGGAAGTTGAAGCAGCAAAATCAAAAGGCAGCATCGACAAGTGAGAGTAGAGAGAGAGAGAGAGAGAGAGAGAGAGAGAGAGAGAGAGAGAGACCCTCCTACCCTCCACCTCTCATTTACTACAATACTCAATTTCAACATTAAAGGATCGTACTGGGTGTTGAGAGTTGACATCTCTTTCTCTCTCTCTCTCTGTTCAAAGAATAAAGTTTAAAGTGCGCTTACGGACACACTTTAAATGTCGTCATATCAACGCGCACACACACACACACACACACACACACACACACACACACACACACAAAACAGCGTCATGCCAACTTTGAGCCCCTTGCTATTACCTCTTAAAAGAACACCATCGCTAGCAGAAAGCGAGCGAACGATTGCCTGGCGTTGTTTCTATAAAAGACTGCCATAAAGGGAAGAAGGAGGAAAGCCAAGCGGTGTTGATTGCTCGTGTTGGCGAAACTGGTGTGTGTGTTTTACTCACCTCCGTGGGCGACGCAGGTGATGCTGGGGGTGTCACCTTCCTGGTAGGGCCCGACGACTGTGCTGGCTGTGCCTCTGGGGGGGTCCTGATCCCCTACCACCACACTCACCCTCTCTGGGGGCACTAAGGGGTAGAGGAAGAACGTGTCTTAATGAAGATTTGTTGACGACAAGTGATGTAATTAAGGAGAGTCAGGATGTATTGAATGGATTATAAAATATTGCTGACAGATTGTTGACGTGTGTGTGTGTGTGTGTGTGTGTGTTTGTTTGTGTGTGTGTGTGTGTGTGTGTGTGTGTGTGTGTGTGTGTGTGGAGTGTGTGTGTGGAGAGGTGTGTGTGTGAGAGGTGTGTGTGTGTGTGTGTGTGTGTGTGTGTGTGTGTGTGTGTGTGTGTGTGTGTGTGTGTGTGTGTGTGTGTGGAGGTGTGTGTGTCTGTGTGTGTGTGTGTGTGTGTGTGTGTGTGTGTGTGTGTGTGTGTGTGTGTGTGTGTGAGAGGTGTGTGTGGAGGGTGTGTGTGGAGAGGTGTGTGTGTGTGTGTGTGTGTGTGTGTGTGTGTGTGTGTGTGGAGAGGTGTGTGTCTGAGTGTGTGTGTGTTGTGTGTCTGTGTGTGTGTGTCTTGGGGAGAGCTCCTGTACCCCGCCATTAAGTGATATAACCTGATGACTCTAGGGCCGGGGCGTGACGGTGGTGACAGGGCTCAGAGCAGAGGGATATTTATGTTCTTGTTGTGGGAGGGGAGAACCTCCTTACTCAATACTGACTTTTACACCAATAACAATGAATGAATTGTGATGAAGGGTGAGGGTGTGTGTGTGTGTGTGTGTGTGTGTGTGTGTGCTGGAGGTATACAACACTACCCCACTTCATCCACACTAAATACACTTATACTTGCAAACTCTCAAAACCCTCCACACACACACACACACACACACACCTCCACCCACCTCCCACACACACACACATGCACCCCCCACCCTCTCTCTCTCCACACACACACACCTCCACCCACCTCCACACACACACATGCACCCCCCACCCCTTCTCCACACACACACACACACACCCCACCCACCTCCCACACACACACATGCACCCCCCACCCTCTCTCCACACACACACACACACCTCCCACCTCCCCTCATCTCTTGAACCTCCAATTAGGAAGAGTAGGGGTGAGGCCTGAGAGAGGAGACTTCACTTTGACTTTACCTACTTGAAGGGGCAGATGAAATATTCTCGAGTTTTAACGTCAAGTGTTGAGGAGGGTGACGCCAAGCCTTCAGTCAATCAGTTCTTAGAAGACTAACATTCATTTACAGGATTGAAGTACTTATAAAGGAATCCTGAAGCAGTAAAAGGGAACCACCCCCCCCAGAAAAAAAAAGAAGTGAATCCCAAGTATACTTTACAGAGTTTAGAAGTGTTAAGTGGAGGGCCTTAATTAGTTTATGGGCTTTGAAGGTAAAATGTGTAATTTTATTGATAGGTAAATGAGGAGGTACAGGTGAAATTATGTTTATTGATGATTTGTTAATATATATTTAATGTGTTTATGAAATGGGTTAAACTTTAGGCAATAATAAAAACAACAACAATAACATGAACACCAACAATAACAATAACACCAAGAAAAACAATAACAACAGCAATAATAAAGCAACAAAACAACAATAAAAATAAAACGGACAAGAAGAAGAACAACAACATATAAAGGTTAATGACAATAGCGAAGATCACCTAACACCACCTGTCTTACACCGCCTGTCCATAAACCATTACCCACACCACCTGTCTTACACCGCCTGTCCATAAACCATTACCCACACCACCTGTCTTACGCCGCCTGTCCATAAACCATTACCCACACCACCTGTCTTACACGCCTGTCCAAACCATTACCCACACCACCTGTCTTACACCGCCTGTCCATAAACCATTACCCACACCACCTGTCTCACACCGCCTGTCCATAAACCATTACCCACACCACACCCTTACACCGCCTGTCCATAAACCATTACCCACACCACCTGTCTTATACCGCCTGTCCATAAACCATTACCCACACCACCTGTCTTACACCACCGTCCATAAACCATTACCCACACCACCTGTCTTACACCGCCTGTCCATAAACCATTACCCACACCACCTGTCTTACACCACCTGTCCATAAACCATTACCCACACCACCTGTCTTACACCGCCTGTCCATAAACCATTACCCACACCACCTGTCTTACACGCCTGTCCATAAACCTTACCCACACCCTGTCTTCGCCTGTCCATAAACCATACCCACACCACCTGTCTTACCACCGTCCATAAACCATTACCCACACCACCTCCACACCGCCTGTCCATAAGCCATTACCCACACCACCTGTCTTACCCCCCATCCATAAACCACTACCCACACCTGTCTTACCGCCTGTCCATAAACCATTACCCACACCACCTGTCTTACCGCCTGTCCATAAACCATTACCCACACCACCTGTCGTACACCGCCTGTCCATAAACCATTACCCACCACCTGTCTTACACCGCCTGTCCATAAACCATTACCCCACCTGTCTTCACCGCCTGTCCATAAACCATTACCCACACCACCTGTCTTTACCACCTGTCCTAACCATTACCCACCACCTGTCTTACCGCCTGTCCATAAACCATTACCCACACCACCTGTCTTACACCGCCTGTCCATAAACCATTACCCACACCACCTGTCTTACCGCCTGTCCATAAGCCATACCCACACCACCTGTACCGCCTGTCCATAAACCATTACCCACACACCTGTCTTACACCGCCTGTCCATAAGCCATTACCCACCCTGTCTTACACCACCTGTCCATAAACCATTACCCACACACCTGTCTTCCGCCTGTCCTAAGCCATTACCCACCACCTGTCTTCACCGCCTGTCCATAAACCATTACCCACCCTGTCCACCACTGCAAGCCATTACCCACCTGTCTTACACCGCCTGTCCATAAACCATTACCCACACCACCTGTCTTACACCGCCTGTCCATAAACCACTACCCCACCACCGTCTTACCGCCTGTCCATAACCATTACCCACACCACCTGTCTTACACCCCTGTCCATAAACCATTCCCACCACCTGTCTACACCGCCTGTCAACCTTACCCACACCCCTGTCTTACCGCCTGTCCATAAACCATTACCCACACCACCTGTCTTACACCCTGTCCATAAACCATTACCCCACACCACCTGTCTTACACCACCTGTCCTATCCCCCACACCGTCTTACCCTAAATACCCACACCACCGCCTGTCCATAACCATTACCCACCACCTGTCTTCCCGCCTGTCCATAAACCATTACCACCACCTGTCTTACACCGCCTGTCCATAAACCATTACCCACCACCTGTCTTACACCGCCTGTCCATAAGCCATTACCCACACCACCTGTCTTACACCGCCTGTCCATAAACCATTACCCACACCACCTGTCTGTACACCTCCCCACCAGCTGTAAGCTCCCAGACAGTGATGATCAAATTTGTCCCTCTCTTGGTGTGATGTGTGTTGACAGTGCAGAGTTAATCTAGGGGAATATACACTGTTGATTCAGAAATAACCAATGAGAACCTTGTTTATTCCATCCCATCAGACAGGTAGGCGAGGCAGATAGCAGATGTATTACTGGGATGACCTGAAGATTAGACACCCTAGCTTATTTCACGTGAATTTTAATTACGCTTAGGCAAATCTGATCTAACCTT